CCCCATAGCTTGTTACCCTGCCCCCTCCTGTAGCTCTCCACCACTTGCTTATAGCTCGCTGCCCCACCCTCCTGCTGATCTATGATCCAGTTGTTACGTGGTCAGTTGCTATGCTTCACAGCGTAATGACCATTTGCATATTACATCTTTATTATATAGGATAATTTTGTAAGTCCTTGCCAGAGCAATCAGGCAAGAGAAAGAAAGAAAAGGCATCCAAATTGGGAATAAAGAAGTAAAATTGTCACTTTTTACAGATGACATGATTCTGTATATGGAAAACCCTAAAGACTCCTCAAAAAAAACCCAAACTAATAATAATTAGAAACAAATACAGTAAAGTTAGAGGATACAAAATCAATGTATAAAAATCCACTGCATTCCTATATACTAACAATGACATTTCAGAAAAAGAAATGAAACAAAACACAATTCCTTTTGTAATCGCAACAAAAATAATAATATACTTAGGAATACACTTAACAAAGGATGTGAAAACACCTATATACTGAAAATTGTAAGGCATTATTAAGATTGAAAAGGAAGTAAAATGTTTATAAATTCAGATTTATATGGAACCACAAAAAACCTCGAATAGCCAAAGCAATCCTGAGGAAAAAGAACAAAGCTGAAGGTATCACACTACTTGACTCCAATTTATACTACAGAACTATGATAATCAGAACAGCAGGGTATTGGCAGAAAACAGGAACACAGACCAGTGGTTCAGAATTGATAGTCCAGAAATAGAACCACATCTACATGGGCAAATAATTTTTACAAAGGAGCGAAAAACACAGTGGAGAAAATAAAGCCTTTTCAATAAATGGTGCTGGGAAAATGAGAAAGCCACATATAAAAGAATGAAACTAGATTACACTTTGTCCCCATTTACAAAAATTAATTCAAAATAGGTCAAAGACCTAAATATAAGATCTGAAACCATAAATTACATATAAGAAAACAGAGGTACTGAATTATGGACCTTGGTCATAGTGAACACTTTATGAATTTAACCCCAAAGGCAAGGGAAGTAAAGGCAAATATAAATAAATGGGACTGTATCAAACTAAAAAGCTTCTGAACAGCAAAAGAAACCACCAAAAAACAAAACAAAGAGGCAACCAACTGAATGGGAGATAATATCTGCAAACAACATCTCCAGCAAGGGGTTAATTTTCAAAATATATAAAGAACTCATACAACTCAACACCAAACAAACAATCCATTTAAAAAATGACCAGAGGGACCTGGCCTGGTAGCTCAGTTGGTTGGAGCTTTGTTTCATGTACCAAAAGATCCCCCCCAGTCGGCAAATTACAGGAGGCAACTGATCAAAGTTTCTCACATCAATATTTTTCTCTCATCTCTTCTTTCCTCTCTAAAAATCAATAAAAAATATATCTTTGGGTGAAGGTTAAAAAAAAGGGCAGATGACCTGAACAGACACTTCTCCCAAGAAGACATATAAATGGCCAACAGATATATGAAAAGACTAGAGGCCTGGTGCACGAAATTCATGCACTGGGGTGGGAGAGGGGGTCCCTCAGCCTGGCCTGCGCCCTCTTGCAGTCTATAACCATTTGGGAGATATCCGACTGCCGGCTTAGGCCCGATCCCCCTGGAGATCGGGCCTAAGCCGGCAGTCGGACATCTTTGCAATCGGGATCCCTCACTCCTTAGCGCCCGCTTGCCCCTTAGCGCTTGGCTCGCTCCTCCTTAGCACTTCCACAGAGGCAGGAGAGGCTCCTGCCACCACTACTGCACTTGCCAGCTGTGAGCCTGGGTTCTGGCTGAGCGGCATTCCCCTTGTGGAAGCACACTGATCACCAGGGGGCAGACGCTAAACAAAGGAGCTGCTTCCTGGTGGTCAGTGCGCATCATATCCTCCGGTTGTTGCACCGTACAGTCACTTAGGCTTTTATTATATAGACTAGTAGCCCTGCGCATGAATCCGTGTGTGAGTAGCTCGCTGCCGCTTGCTTCAGCTGGTCACCCGCCCACCACAGCTAGTAGCTCTCTGCTGCTCGTAGCTCGCTGACCCACCCTCCTGTAGCTCTCTGCCCACTGCTCTGCCCTCCTGTAGCTCTCCCGCAGCTCATAGCTCACTGCCCCGCCCTCCTGTAGCTCTCCTGGCTTGTAGCTCACTGCCCTGCCCTCCTGCAGCTCTCCAACACTTGTAGATTGGTTGTGGCATTAAGGCGTAATGGATAATTAGCATGTTCCTTTCTTATTATATAGGATGCTCAACTTCACTAGCTATTAGGGAAATGCAAATTAAAAACTACAATGCAATGCCACCTCACACCTTTTA